CGCTCGAGCGTGGTGACCGCGCCCACGCCGCCAACCAGCCCGAGACCGTGTCATGCACGAATTTTAAAACGCCTATAAAAACTAAACCGTTGCTTCTGAAACTAAACCATCTTTACCATACTCAAGATGGCATATGAGACTACGAAATCGAGTTATAACACTATACCACCCCTTAACCCAATTTCGCAAAATAAATTGCCAAACATGGCATTGTCTAGCTGTCTATATACTTAAATCTTCTAAGTCTATGAGCTAAATTTGATTCAAAGTTGCATTTCTAGGCTATTAGAAATGTTGGCTAGCAATGTTATTTTTCTACAGCAAGTATTTTATCGTTATCTACAAAGTTCATATTCCAAACTTTATTTAAGCGTCACATATATGTTCTATAGCATTTTTGTTCAATAAAAATTAATTTTAAACCCTACTTGATATACATGAACTATTGGATCAACTTTCGTTTAATATTTTTATTCGTCATTTTAGGTTATAAAAAATTGATCTACACACTTTATCACATGCACTAACACATAAACCTGATGCTCATGACATATTTTAGTAAATGATTTAGGATGTAACACCGAGGGTGTTATATTTTACAAGTGTTTCAGACGTATGTTACAAATATTTTAGCTATTTCTGATGTATGTTGCATGTGTTTCATCTAGATGTTGCAAAAGTAGATCGAGGATGTTGCATACATTGCGAGCAGCGCGAGGAAAGCGGGCGCAGGGGGAGCGGTCCACGGTCGTAGCGTGGTCCCCACATGCTTGCGGGAAACGAGGCAAGCGAGGACGGTCCCCACGGAGCGGCGCGAGCGAGCAGGCGGGCAGGTAGAGCGAGCAGGTGGGCAAGCAGTGGAGCAGGCCAGCAGCCGCGAGCGTCCAGACACGGGTGTCCGTCCTAACGTTCGGACACTAGTAGTTTTTTTTTTTGCGTTGTCTTAAAAAGGGAACAATGTTGCTGTAGGATTCATGAGCAATAAGCTCCGTTTAGAAAGATAGAACAAAGGAAAATAGAGAATTCTAGAGGATTAGAATCATATATTAGAAAAATCCTTCAAATTCCTATGAAATCGTTACCAAAGCTATGGCTTTTACCATACTCATGGCTCGCCTGTCATAGACCCATTACTCTACCAAGCTATGTCTATGGTAACAAATTGTTAGCCACACATTTGACAAAGCTTAGCTATACGATTATGGATTATGTGGATATGCAGGTGCAAACTTCTATGGCAATCCAAGGTCTAGCCATTCGACATGCCAGATTTTTACCAAGAATGGACGGGTTTGTGTACACAGCTACATGGATCAACAAATTTGCACTTAAAAATTCCAACGCAAACTCGATTTTTTTGACTCGGTCATCCAAACACACCCAGATGGGTTTCTCTGAGCTCGTCAAAAACTTTCCTATGTGGTTCCTAAAGGCCCGCCCAGTAGTGGTGGGGGAAGGAAAAACCTGCCACGTACTCTGAGCTAGTGGCTGGCCGGCTGGCCGGGCGCCTGAGATGGGGCGCACGCACAGGCGCAGCAGTGGAGCCAATCAATCACACACCAAGTGGCGTCCCGGTGGTGTCCACGAGAAAGGTTCCTTTCGGTGCGCTGCCGTCGGCAGCGCGGTCCAGCCAAGTCTCAAGTGCGGTGCCGCACTGGCACTGCCACCCGCACGCACCGGCACCGCCCCAGCAGCGCCGGAACCGACGTAAAACGACCGCCACAACCGGCGGGGAACGCAGAGACGGACCGACTCCTCCTCCTCCTCTGGACCACGCACGCACACAGGTAGCCCGCTGTTTCCGCCCGAGAAGACACGTGTGCTCGCTGCCGTCTAGACGCAAAAGGCGCGAGGAAATTCGTGGTAAGCGTGGTGCCGCCGGCACTCCGCGCTTGCATCGCGCAGGAAGGGAGTCCGCTAGTGCTCGTGGTGTGGTGGAATCCTTGCTGCAGACACGTGTGCTCGCGCTTGCTATCGATGGCCGCAGCCTTTGGCCTTTTCGTTCGGGCAGTGGGATCCCGTGTGGGAGCTCACCATAGTCAGACGTCAGTCAGTGTGGCTCAGTTCGCTTCGTGGAGAAAAAAAAGTTGAAATACTGTTTCGGCCGATTTGTTGTGACTTATGAGAGAAAAACACTGTTTCGACTAAAAATAACTAGTTGAAAAGTACGAATTATAACCAAGCGAACAGAGCATGAGCAGGCAGCTGGGACCTGGGATGGGATTTCGCAAACGCAGAGGGAGCATGGCGCCTGATGCATAGTTTCCCGCGGACACGGGTTTCCCCCCTACCCCGCGGCACGGTGGCGCCGCGTCTTGAGAGATGGAGAGAGACGAAGCGGATAATAGAGTTGGAGGGGGAGAAGCAGCGGTGTGTATAGAGGACATAGGAGCACAGGATATTTTTAGATGGCAGAGTGGAAAACGTCGGGGTGAAACACAGCCATGAAACTGGAAACAAGCGGCCAAAACTTTTCACAGTAACGTGGCCACCCTGAGCGCACGCCAATTGCAGCCGAAATGCAGGAAGCAATATATTGTCACTTGAGATCAGAGAAAAGATCATAAAACAGTGATAATCATGACCGCATCTTGTCATAGGGTATAGTTGAGAAGAAGATATTTGTTTCCAGCAAAATTGTCGTTGACATGTGGCGGAAAAAGGTAAAATAGCAATGTCATGTAAATATTGTCAGGTTTGGCATATGGGAATGCGTCACTAGCAACTCTGCAAAGATCATAAAAGAGCCGTAATCATGACTGCATACTCTTATTTAACTCTGCAAAGCGGCTGGGAATCGCTCGAGGACAACCCGTTCATGTTGGCAAAAACCAATTCCTATATTTCAGAAAAAGGTATCTATCTCCAGCATCCTTGGCATTGACATATGGCCAACCAAAAAAAGCAAAATAGCAAAGGCACGAAAATATGATCAGGTTTATCAGAAGCACCTTACAGGTACCATCATATACTCAAACTGCAATCGATACATCATCAGCAACGTCATATGCTGAGACTAAAATAAATAAAGCAGCACCATAGGCACACTTATATATACCGATGAAAAGATTACAGCATCAACACAGCGGCACAAACCTTATGCGTAAGCAAAATAAATCCATATATACAGGAAATGAAATCAAGGGATCAGAGACATAAGGTAGGAAAGGAGATAAATGAGATTTTTGGCACCCGATTCACTGCATAGATTAAATGGGGAGCGGACAAATCTAACCATGCAGCCGACAGATCCAACCATGCAGCCGACAGATCCGGCCATCCGTCACCTGAGCCGGCAAGGGAAGGGGAGGGAAGCAAGAGAGAGAGCGCACCTTTACCTGTACAGCAGCCGGGCAGCAGTCGGTCCGTGGCCACCTCTCCCACGGCCTGCGGCCCCAGTGTGTAGCGGCGTCGGCGGCCAGCGGGCCTGCTCGCAGCGGCGCGCTCGCACCCACCCCCGCCCAGGGGCATGGCCGCTGAGCATAGGCAGCTAGGGTTTGGTCGAGCACACGTGGAGCGGCGGGAAGGGGCAGCGCGGGGGAAGCAGCGCCGGTGGCTACCGACATGGCCCGGTCGTGCCACTCCATGGCCGAGTACGTCCACTGCCGTCGGGGCCCACGCGCGGCGCTGCGCAGCAAGCCGGGGATGCCGTCGCCCCGCCAGCGCGGCGCGCGGCGCACGATCATCTGATGGCGCTGGGCCTAGCCGGCACACCGCCCCGTCGGGCGAGAGGGAGAGGGAGAGAGAGGAAGGGAAGGTGGGCGTGGACGCGGCGGAGGCGACGTCTGCGGGAGCAGAAGCGTCGAGGTCGGGAAGGAGAAGAATCGAGAAGGGGAATTGTGTAGAAGTAGAATCCGAAGCTAGGTATATATTTGGTCTTGTGGATTCGGACGAGAAGCCGAAGAAGCTAAAGGAAAAAAAAGAGGTAGCCGGAGAAAGTCACGAGAAACGGTAGAAGCTGTTTCCGAAGAGAATCCGCTTCAAGCAATAAGGGCCATGGGATGGAGGATCGGACGGCTGGGGTCATTCGGGCCAACGTGGATGCTGTTCCTGGCGGCCAAAGTAACCTGCATTGATAAGAGTAGATGCCCTAGTTTATGTTAGGGGGAATTCCTCGTGAGGCATTAAAAAAGACCGCAATCTCCTGTGGGCCACTAGAAAAGTTCAGCGGACTTCAGCGTCACTGCTCCAACTTTTTTTTTGCCCTCTATGCCACTGCCGTCAGATTGGGCTCTAACGGTGTCAAACTGCTGGTGTGAAAAGTCAAAAATGCCCTTAAATCTAAATATGTTATTAATTTTTTTGAGCATCTTAACGACTTCAAATGAAAAAACTCAAAACTTAAAAGTTATAGATCTCGTCGAGATCTATAATTTTCATATAAAAATTATCTGCATTTAATTCCGCAAAAAAGATATGATTTGATATGATTAATATATCTTAGAAAATCATATCTTTTTTGCGATATTAGAAGAAGATAATTTTTATATGAAAATTATAGATCTCGTCGAGATCTACAACTTTCTAGTTTTGAGTTTTTTCATTTGAAGTCGTTATGATGCTAAAAAAAAATTAATGACATATTTAGACTTATAGGTATTTTTGACTTTTCACACCTACAGTTTAACACTGACAGCAGTGGCATGGAAGGCAAACAAAAAAAAATTAAAGCAGTGACGCTAAAGTCCGCTGAACTTTTTCAGTGACTCATACAGGACTGCGATCTTTTCTAATGGCTCGCGAGGAATTCCCCGGTTTATGTTATCTCGCTCCTGCTGGTGCTGCACTCCGAGTGCTCCTGCACTGTACTGCCTGGTGGCCTGGTGTTTCCTCTCACCGCGTCAGACCACAGATCCACTTGCCGGGCTGGCACTAGAAGCTGGCACCACCAACGGGACGCGCTTTTGTGCGGGCTGAAAGGAACAGAGCCCATGGCCCAGCGGTGAGGCCCGTATGCTATTCGCGAATCTTTCTCAGCCCATGGTTAATTCAGTGGTTGTTCAAAACTTGACACTATAAGGTACATGTAGAAGTGAAGAATTAAAATTGACAACCAGGCCTTTTGCCAAAAAAAGAACACCCAACTTGGTGCTTGTGCTTAGAATTTTCACATGACAAAACTACATGCATGCATAAAAAACTTCATTGCAAAATGAACTAGAGCTGCAAAAGCCTCATATATCTTAAACAAATTACGAACCTTTTTCCATTCACAATCAATTATTGAATCAGCTCTTCTCACAATCATACCACACACACGGCATACATGGCCCAAATCTTCATGAATCCGAATGTCATGATTGCAGTCGATGTCCCCCATCATCCCATTACCCTCTTCCTTTTCATTTGCCGCCTCGTCAACTTCGTCAAGCTAGACCAATAAAAATAACCAAATCAAGAAACTGGTTACCAACAATTGAACTGAACAGTAATGAATGGATTTTTTTAACACTTTAGCTAATGAATCTCAGTGCATTATGTAAACACTTGGCTCCTGTAAAATGAGATACCCCTTTCTTGATCATTTCACAATACAAGTATTCATTGTAATCAAGTTGTAGTTGGTGCTATGGTTGTGCATAGAAATAACCACAGTACCAAAAGACACAAAGTTCTTGGGATCTTTTGTTTACTTGCAGTTTCACATGGTTGACTTGACCTTAAATTGCAAATTGAGTATTTCTTGCCAGAAAGCAGGCAAAATATAATATACTAGCATGAAAATGCTCCATAGAGTGTGTTCAATCTAAAAAAAAGGTGATACATGTACTCACAAGCTGAACTAGCAGTCAACTGGAAAAAAATAAAGATTTTCAAGTGGTTGCTGCAATATAAATCAAATTCTGTGGTTGACACTCGTACCTTTGTGCTTTCAACAGCCAATGCAAAAATCTTTCCAATAATCCTCAAGACCATCACTTTCACTTTTTTTATTCTCTTCTTTGTCTATAGCCATGTCAGGTTCTGATGATGTATCAGTTTGTTGTAAATCCAATGACAAATTAGCTGCTGCTAGATCTGTGGCACCTTTTCTACTTCTTTGTTTAGGGACAGTAGTAGTATCTTCACTGACATGCAAACTGAGGTCTGATCTCCTTCGTTTTTTCTCCATAGGAAGTGAAAGGAACACTTGTGTTTCTGCTCTCTTCTCCGCTATGCTAGCAGCCTAGAATGAGAAACACGAATTAAGAGTTGGAATGCAGAGTCTTTCATCATGGTACACATATAGTGGAATAAGCACAAAAAAATATGTCATGTGGGACCGACAGTACCAGCATCGGCCCATGGCTCGAGATGCAGCTGCAGTCCGGCCGTGAAGGCTTGGACGCGCTGCGCCTTCGAGAGGGTGCCCGCGCGTGGGAGCAGAGCTTCGAACCGGTCCTGGAATTCAACAACAGAGCCGGTCCGCTTGCAGGCCATAAGTCTCCGAGCGGGTTGGAGCGGATTGGCGGCCCCAACCTGAGGTTCAAGAGCTCGGAGAAGCGGGGCCATGAAGGTGTGCCCTCGTCCTGCTGGACTTGGATGAACAGCATCTGGGCGCCTGCTTCCAGATTGTAGGAAGCCATGCACACGTGCTCTTCCGCGGCGATGCGCTGCTAATGGAAGTAGGACTCGCAACGGTTGAGAAAGGCCAGCGGATCCGATTTGCCATCGAACTTGGGAAAATCGAGCTTCTGGAAACGGGGAGGGCGATCACCATGTTGGTCGCCGTGGCCCGATCCCCTGGAACCAGAGAAGGAGGCCGCCGCTAGGCACTCGTGCTGCAGAGCGGCAACCTGCCCTTGCAAGTCACCGATGGATGCCGAGAGGGTTTGGATGAGTTTGGCCAAATCGGCTGTGGTGGATTCTGCCATGGGCGATGATATGGAGGCGGCGGAGGGCGTTGGTGAGGCTGGGGTGGAAGGCGTGGTGGCTGCTGGTTTTGGTGGTGGTGCAGAGGTGGAAGAGGAGCGCCTGGAAGCCGGTGGGCGTTGGTGCTCAAAGTAGCTGGCCCTCAACTACGAAGCTCATAGCTTGGGTTGATAATGGTGCGGGGTTGATCCCCTGGGCGCCCAACTGTGAAAGAGATGATATTAAGATGAAGGGTTGATCCCCATGGGCTGGTCTTCCAGTACAAGTCCCCCGCAAGGCTCAGGCCCTCTTCAATGTTGCAGTAGATGCTATAGTAGGGAATGGTGAGAAAATTCGGTCCTGGATAGATAGATGGTTACGGTCACACCTTGGCTGAGTTGCCCCCAACCTATTTAATGTTGTCCCCAAAGGTACAGCCAAGAGACCTACTCTTGCTCCGGCACTCCAGAACAGAAAATGGGTAGATGACATCAGGGGAGCTCGAACAGTACCAGTCCTCATCGAGTACTTGCAGCTCTAGGACTTGGTGGATGGAATGGTTCTGCAGCAACAGGTTCTAGATCAATTTACTTGGAAGCAAGCCCAATCTGGTTTATACACAAGTAAATCAGCTTATGCTGCCTTCTTTGTGGGAACCATCAGGTTTGGTCCTTGGAGAAGAATTTGGAAAAGCCGGGCGCCTCCTCATTGCAAATTTTTTATCTGGTTGGTTTTCCACAATTGGTGTTGGACGGCCGATCGCCTTGTGAGGAGGGGATTGCCCGATCCTGAGGCTTGTCCTTTGTGTGATCAAGCTGAGAAGACTATTCATCATATCCTGGTTGGTTGTGTATTCATTCGTTAAATATGAGCTCGAATCTTCCAATACTCGGGTCTCAGTTCTCTATAGCCAGAACCTACAACATCTCGTTTCTCTAAATGGTGGTGGAAGGCAATATTGTCAGTGCCCAAGGCTGAACGAAAGGGTCTCAACTCCCTGATAATTTTGGTAGCCTGGGAGGTGTGGAAGCACCGTAACTCATGTGTGTTTGAAAATGCCACGCCAAGCACCCAGGAGGTTCTTAGGGCTGTCAGCGCTGAGGGCAATCCTTGGTGCAGTGCTGGAGCAAGAAAGCTCCTGGAACTCTTGGTCATGGAGCCGGCCTTGGGGGTATAAGGCAGACTGCTTTGTCTGGTCGACATCAATATAGTTTGTGGCGCGCCTGTTTTAGTTAAGTGAGTGGGTGTTTGTTGGTGGTGTTTTTCTACTCGAGTAGGGTCTAACCAGACTCGTGTATTTTATTTCTACCTTACCGCGCAGCTCTCTTGGGTAGTTCGAGAAAAAAAATAAGATGAAGGGGATGAGATTAAGAGAGAACAGGGAGATTAGGAATAGGTTTCTTCTTGCTTGATTCAATCTCAGCACGTTACATCATATAAATAGGAGTATGGCTCCATGATAACTGCCCAGCCATAACTACTAATCCCCAACCAACTCCTTATAAGTGCAATCAAGCCCTAATTGTAGGTTTTGGTGATAATGACCACACGATTAGAGGACTAATGAGTTTTTATCGAGATGACAAGCAGGTAAAATAAGAATGATGCTAATACATGTGATGGTGGAGCCTCATATTAAAAAAGACGCGGTGATGAACTAAAAGGCATTTAAATTCTTTGATATTTGATCTTGAGTATAGGATATGCCGCACTATAAAGAGTGATGCAAATCTAGGTGGTCTGAGAAAGATATAGTGCTCAAGAATCTAACTAAAATAAACCAAAAAGGGGCATACAAGCACTACACTACTCACAATAGAACCCTATGAAAATCAGAAGTTCTGGACCCCTATCAGAAGTTCTGATGTTGGGCGCAACCCTACGAAAATTAGAAGTTCTGGTCCCCTATCAGAAGTTCTGATGTTGGGCGCAACCCTGTGAAACTCAGAAGTTCTGGTCCCCTATCAGAAGTTCTGATTTTCGTAGTAACGGTCAGATTTGTGCTGGACCTATATATACTCATCCCCTTTCAATCTAACCATTACCCACTCACTCCCTCACGCCCCAACTTCAGAAAACACCTCTCAAGCTCTCAAGGCACTCTCCTCTTCTCCCCTCTTGCTCCTAGCTTCAAATCTTGGAAGAGATCAAGTTGAGAGAAGAGATTTGGTGAGAGAAACATCAATTTAAAACTTGAGCACTTGATTTCTTCGTCAAGCCGGTTCAATTTGCGTTTGTAACTCTTGGGGCTTTGCTCCTAGCCGGCTAGGCGTCGCCCAAGAGCTCCCAATCTGTGGGAGAACCTTGGGAAGTTTGTATTACCCTTGATTTTCTTGTGAAGAACTCAAGTTTACCTTCATGGTTGCTTGAGAGAGGCAAGGAGGTGAAAGAGACTCTGACCTTCGTGGTCACCTCAACAACGAAGAAGACGTAGGCAAGCCTTAGTGAGAGCTGAACCTCGGGATAAATCATTGTGTCCCGCATGCTTGTTGTTGTTGTGATTACTTGAGATTACTTGTTCTTCGTTGTCTCTCTCTTCCTCAAGCTATTTCTTAGGTTTTGGTCCCGGTCTACAAATTGGTGGCGTTCCAAGGTCAAGGGAGTACTTGGACAGCTTCATCTATCCATAAGGAAGTGGGGTAATTCGCATATCTGAATTTCATATTGTTTTAGGCACTGATTTCGTAGGTTCCCCGTCTGCGTGTTCTGACCTCAGTCAGAACTTCTGACCCTGAGACTGATCCGCTGTTTTAGTTTGTGTTAAGTTTTCAGATACGCCTATTCACCCCCCTCTAGGCTTAGCAGGGATCCTTACACTCCTAAATGCCATTGATCACAACCGCCTGGCCTTCTCGGGCTCCTGCTTTTGCAGCTGGCTGTGCATGCACCTCCTTGGGTTTTAACCCCTAACTTAATTGACATCGTCTAAGCCTGCTCCTCCTTGGGTGTGCCCCTGGCAGCATCTCGAGCCCTGGGCCGATGCTGGTACTGTCGGTCCCACATGAAAAAATATTTATAGAAGTTAATATTAATTTAACAAACTGGAATTTGAAGGTCATACCACAACATCTTGCATTATTTGCTCCTCAGGCCTTTTCTGTAACACAACTCTCTCAAACTGAATAGATGGTTGCCAGCTGCTTTGCAAAGGTAACTGATTCACTAAAGCAGAACATTGACCATGTGGAACAATCTGTGTGTTCTTGTCTCCATCAGCATGCATGGTTCCAAATGCTTGGCTCCTATTAGATGTCACCCTCTCTGTGATATTACGAGCCAATTCAGATGTTGTGAGTTCTTTGCCAATCTCAGATGCCAACTTATTGCATCCTGACCTATTTCCATCCTCATCATCTGAATCAAGAACTATTATGTCAGCCTTTTCTTTTTGTTCTGTTGGCATAGAAAGGAAGTTGATCAATTGGACCTTGCGCAGTCGAATTCCATCCCAATCCTTGCAAAAACTGCCAAATCCCAAACTGTGGATCCTATTTGCATCAGGAAGTGCATGACCACTGGAACACATTGCAGCACTGGGTGAAATACACTGCTATTGCGCTCAAAAGGTTTCCTCTGCCTGCTGTAATATATGCCTACAAACACATAAAGTTGATTACATATCACAGGAGAGGAATTTGTATTTATATATAACACATACACACACAGTTGGGGACAGGCCCTCAGGTTTCCTCAGGGAAAAAACACAGCACATGATAGGGGATAAAGCTCAAGAAAATTTATTGCCTATGCAGGTAGTGATTGTGGTGATCATGTATATCTGTTCTGACATAAGCGGATAATGCATAGCATTTGCTAATTTATTGACTATGCAGGTAGTGATTGTGACGATTGTGTTTTCTGATCTTGTTGCGTTTTCTGGTCTGCTAATTTATTGACTATGCTAGAACGCAGAATTTTTTTTATTGTTGACTATGCATAGCATCTTGTTGATGTATGTGTATCAGGAAGTTCACACACGGCAGATGAATTAACAGATTTCTTCAACCCAACAACATGGAATATGAAAGGCTGAGGAAAAAGAATTCAACCTTGCCATGCATTCAGAAAGCGATAAGATCATAAACTCTGCACCCACACTGGCATATTTGCATGGATGAACAACTTCTAGATGAAACAGATATGAGAAACGAATTTTCGATTGCGCGATTCAGTGGCAGAGCCAGGGTTTTTTCAACAGAAATACTAGGTATCCTCATGACAAAGACCTCTAATCAACATATTTATGCTTCTGCTTTTGTCAATGCTCTACGATCTAGACAAAAATCGAACACATATTGGTACTGATCAACATCGTGCTAAACGTACCGGTGGATTGAGACATCGTGAGTTCGAGATTTCAGAACTCCCACTCTCCCAGTGATGGGGGCGACAGTCGAGCCAGGTCCAGCGACGCCGGGACAAGGGCTGCTTCCTGGGGGCTCAGAAGTCAGAAGTCGCGCAGGCGCACCGGCAGCGGGCATGCCGCCTAGGGTTTAATCGATTTGAGGATTGGGGTTTTGAGGGGAAATGACAAGGAAAAATAGGAGTGAGTGCATACATGAATGGAGGAACGGCCGAACGAAGGTGAGACCGAGCATACGCCGGGTGGGATGTGCACCGGCCACCAGGTGAAGGGAGCGGCGTTTCTTCCGAGTGGATGGAGTGGTTGGCGCCGCTTCCCGGACGACGGATGGAGTCATCGCAGCGCCACTGCTGGAGTGCTGGTATGAGGGGGGTTGGCTGTTGGGGATGGGCCCACCCGTGAGGACACGTGGCTGTTGGCTGTCGCTTCAAAATTAGCCTTGAGGCAACGTGGCCGGGCCGGCCCACTCACATTCCAGCAACCAGCCAACAGCCCAACCCAACACTTTGGTGGTGGCGCAGGGCCGCTGGCACTTCCCTTGCGTCGCGCGACGCAGGCAGCATGGAAGGAACGAACAATGGAGGGAGGCAGCGCGTCCGTGAGTGCGCATGCGCGAGTGGAATCCTTGGAATCTCATGCAGCACTATTTTGACGGCAACGAACAAACAATATTTTTATCTCACAATAAATCAACATAAGCAGCTGTATAAGCTAAATTTCAGCGAAATAGGGCCGATGTCGCGGTGCCCAGAGCGAGACGCCAGGCAACAGGCGGTCTGGTTCGGTCGTAAGGTCGTTGCGGCTAGGGGTGTACGTGCGCCGGAAAGCCGGCAGTAATATTGCATTACATGATGGGTTATGCAGTGTATTTTTAGTTTGAGGAGTTTGTCTACCTAATAATTATTTATTTTAGCCCATTCCAACAACCATATTTTTTACATGCACTTATACTGTCTTATAGTTATATTTACACCGCTTTATTACTATATTTACATTGATTTCTTCAGTGTAATTTATTGGATAGAGTGATGTAATTTGAAAATAATTACAGATCTCGGATAAATATAAGCCAAATTTATAAATTATTTTTATGAATTGCAGATATCAAATAAATACATGTCAAATATGTCAAATTCTTCATAATTTCTTCACAAATTTCAAAATAAAAAAAACATGCTTGCTCGGTGCATGTAGTGCCGCTGCAGGATAAAGCCGATGCGGTGCTCGATCGTAACGGCACTCTGCGAGTCCGCGTTGCAGCCGCCCGGAAGCTTCTTCGTTCGTCCAGGTCCAGCGTCATCATCGTCCATCAGAGCATGAATAGTACGTGCAGACTACTGTAAACACGCAGGAAAGTAAAAGAGAAATCGGACTTGTGCTGACACCAGGCACGTACGTACGCGTCGTTCCAGCGATTGCGCCCGTCGAGTCTGCATCCAAGGGCCTAGAATCCGGTTGTTTTGGAGGTCTAAAACAACCGGTTGATGGTTAATTAGCATCTCCGTTCTATGTTTGGTTGTTTGCACAAACACTACCAGCAATATCATTTTATCGACCACCCTCATCGCATCACTCCATGCCTCCGAGTAGCAGCCAACCTCAAGTCCTAGATCGATTGACAACTTCTGCATCATCTCCATCGTTACCAGGATGGTTATCGATGTCATCATCTCATCCAGCACCGTGCGTACCGCAACGGCATCAACAACCTCATCGTCGTGCTCATTGGCAGCATCCCATCGCCATGCCCATCGTGCTCTTGGTCACCATGCCCATCGGCTCCCACCGCCTGTCCTAGTAGGGCGCCATCACCAAGCGCACGACCGCCATCGAAGAGATGGTCGGCATGAACGTGTTATGCATTGAGAAGACCGGTACCCTTGCCCTCAATAAGACAAGCTCATAGTCAACAAGAACAAGACCTTCATCGAGGTGTGCGACAAGGGCGTCAACAAGAACATGGTGCTCCTCTACAGCACTAGGGCCCTCCGCCTGCATCGAGAACTAGGACGCCATCAACACATGCATCTCTAGCATGATCACAGACCCCCAAGCAGGCCCGCGCCAGCATCATCAAGGAGGTCCACTTCCTCTCCCTCACCCGGTGGCGAAGCGCACGAACATAACCCTACATGGACAACTCACACAGGGTCAACTCGAGTATATCATCGAGTTGTGTAGGATAAGCAAGGACGTCGAGAAGAAGATCCATGCCTTGGTCAACGGCTATGCCGATCGTGACCTCCACTCCCTAGGTGTGTCATACCCAACAAGTACCAGAGAAGAGTAAGGGCACTTACAGCCGGCGTGCTGGCCGGCGTCTCCGAGCGGTAATTTTGCAAAATCCCCCCAGTTCGCTAGACAGAGAGCGAAGCTGTCGCGTCATGAGACAACAGCGAGGGCTCGTGCTCCCAAGACTCGACAGCAGGATTCGCGTTGTACGGAGCCGTCGCCTTGAGTCGACGCCGTGCGGATCCAGCTGCAGGCGCGAGGTGAAAGAACCGCACCAAAAATCGAAGTCGTCTTCTTCTTCCCTTCATCCTCACCGGCGCGCAGGCGGCGCCAGCACCGGGGCAGTCGCGGGGCGAGCAGGCACCGGCACCGGGACGGGGCGGGTAGAGCAAAGCCGCACGGCGAGGACGAGGGCGTGGCGGACCACGGCCGCACCGGCGAGGAAGAGTTGGGCTACGCCGGCGAGGAAGAGCTAGGCCGCGCGGCGGGGCAGAGCGAGCAGGGCACATCCCGATGAGGCAAGCACGTCCAACGCGAGCAGGGTCATCATGGCGGAGGTGAGCTTGGCAGGCGGCAAGTCCATGGAAACTGAATGTTTCTATTCAGCTTCTGAAAACTGATAACTGAACGCACTTCTGTCAGTTATCCTGTGTTCAATTGACTTTGAATGATAGTGGAGGATGAGAAAGAATTGGTTAGAGTTTCCTTGATTTGAATGAGAATGCAAGTGCGACAATAGGGCTCCCGTCTGAAGTGCATACAAGTGATAACCCCAATCCATGCTTCACGGAGGTGCTTAGAAGGAATTCCGCTATCAAGCACGGCCAACACATAGACAACTTAGGGATGATCTTGTCGAGCATATATGGAAACGCTATGTAAACAAAGAAAATTAGACATAAATGTTTAAATCATATTTGATTTATGGGGAAGAAGATCATATGTTATATTTGAGTTATGAAATATATTATATTACATTATATATATAATATATATGATTTACTTTGAAGGATTTATTTTGTATCAATTAGCAACACAATGGTACACACAATGGTACATAGAAATGATATTCATGATTGATCACGTCTACATGCAAGCATTAAATGATTTGTAGATAGCCAAATAGACAGCAGCTGTCTGTGGGTTGTATAAGCTGTCTGTTTAGCCGTCTATATTGTAAATCCCAAAAACTTAAAGACAGCAACTGTCTATCCGTTGTACATGCCCTTAGAAGAGCGCTAGCGACCCGTGGAAGTTCATTGGGCTCCTACCGTTGTTCGACCTATTGTGGCGTGATAGCGAGGATGGCCTCGGTCGGACTCCTCCGCTCCTCCGGGGGCCTGCCTTTAGGCCTGTCCATGACCCCGTTCGCTTCGCTGAAAAAACAAGCATAAACACTATTCTGCCTGATTTATTATGAGAAAAAAATATTTTTCAACTGAAAAAACAAACTAAAAAGTATGAATTACAAGAGAAGCGAAACTTGACAACGTGCCTTTTCCTTCCCCCTGCTGACCCCGCCACCGTCGTCGGTGCACCAAGGCCATCATTGCTATCTAAAGTCTATAGGCACCAAAAAGTCTAATTTATCTTCCTGCAGTTATCCGATTTCTTTAGTTGAACTACAAAACCAGATTTTTGACCTCCTGTAGCTCTTAAATCGTTTATTTTTACACCTTAGGTGGTTTTACTGATGTGATGTCATGTCAGAGGGAGATAACCAAACTAAGCTGAAAATTCAGGGAGGTAAATCGGACAAGAATATTTTTAAAATATCCAAAAAAAACTTTAAATACATCTTCAAAAGTTACCAAATATTTTTTACATAAAAAATAATGCAATTAAAACACTAAAATATGGTTTGATCTTAGAAATTTCATAGAAAATTTGTTTTACCTCAGAAAATTCTGAAATGTGTGATCAAACTAGTT